CCGGTCGCCGCTGTCGCCGCCTCCGCCCGCCGCCGCCGCCGCCGCCGCCGCCGCCGCCCGGGACGGGCTGACAGTTGAGCATCTATTTTTAAGGCATGACATGCACGTCGAAGCAGGGCTCACACCAGCGTGTGCGTTGGTGACACGCAGGGACACGGCCTCACACTCAGCGGTCCGGTCGCCACGCGGCGCGGGCTCCTCGGCGCCCCCGGGAGCGCGGGTGTGGACCGAGCAGCCCCGGCCCCGCCAAACCCGCGCTGCACCGCCTCGAAAACATGCGTGTGCTCTCCGAGCTGCACCAATGACAGAGCGTCTTGCCTGAAGATCACAGCACAAATGGTCCCCGGCAGTGTCTTCAACGCACATTCTCCTCCCAGACAGAATCCGTTTACTTACATGGACACCCTGCTGTGCGCTGGCTCAGACATGCCTCGTTTTCAGGAAAACCGTGTTGTAAATAACAGTTGTCATTAACACTGATTAGCACTGACTACATACCGTGTGCTTCACATGTCAACTCCTAACCCCTTTGATTCCCACCCCCCCAAAGGCTATGAGGCAGGCATGATTATTATTATTGACTTTATTTTAGGGAGGAGATGACAGAGGCACAGAGAGGCAAAGAAATCTGTCCGGGTCACACAGGTAGCTATTGGCATAGCTGAGCTTCTTCTGACAATGACAGTCTGGCTTGGCAGTTACCCCACTCTAAACCAGTGTCTGCCTCCCAAACACACACATACTGAAGAAGGCATCCAAAATTTCATTCAGGAAGCCATTTCCACCAGCCCAGCTTGTAGTGAACTCCATTTTCCCCAGAATCCCCCAACATTAGTTCCTATACCACTTCTCTTTTAAAAACAATGACTTTTTTTTTTTTTTTGAGTTGGAGTCTCACTCTGTCGCTCAGGCTGGAGTGCAGGGGCATGCTCACAGTCACCCCAGCCTTGATCTGCTGGGCTCAGCTGATCCTTCAGCCCCAGTCTTCCAAGTAGCTAGAACTACAGGCATGTGCCACTATGCCCGGCTAATTTTTTGATTTATTATAGAGAGGAGGTCTCACCAAGTTGCCCAGTCTGGTTTTGAATCCATAGTCTCAGATAATTCTTTCACCTTGGCCTCCCAAAGTGCTGGGATTATAGGCATGAGCCACCACGCCCGGCTCCCTATCTCTTCTTGATCTGTCAGTTTACATGAAGAAATGAAATTCTCATCATTTAATTTTAATTTATATATTATTATTATATTTTTAATTTTTTCTTTTTTATCTTAAAGATGTGGGACTTAATTCAGGATTAGGTACATAAATGGTCATCGTACAGGTTAAGTTTGGGCCTCCCTTTGGTCCCCACTTTGTCTAATTTGAGATCAGCTACCCTTATTTTTTTTTTTTTGAGAGTTGGAGTCTCACTCTGTCGCCCAGACTGGAGTGCGGTGGCCGTGCAGCCTCGACCTGCTGGGCTCCGGCGATCTTTCCACCTCAGCCTTCCAAGTAGCTGGAACTACAGGCATGTGCTACCACGCCCAGGTGAATTTTTGATTTATTGTAGAGATGAGGTCTGGCCAAGTTGCCCAGGTGGGTCTCGAACCCGCAGGCTTAGGCAATCCACTCACCTCAGGCTCCCAAGGCGTGGGATTACAGGCTGAGCCACCAAGCCCGGCTGATCAGCTACCCTTATTGATGTTATGTCCCCACCCCCTGCAGTGTCCCGCTACTGCCAATCTCTTTCTTACAGTATTATGATAATTGGTCAGGGTCTGCTTATGAGTGAGAACATTGTTACTCAGTTCTTTGTTTCTGTGATAGATCACTGAGTATTATAAGTTCTAAACCCATCTAAGTTACTGTGGAGTCCATAATTTTGTCTTTATTTATGGCTGCATAATATTCCATTGTGTATATGACCACTTTTTAAAAAAATTCAGTCCACGTTTGATGGGCAGCTTGGTTGGTTCCATGTTTTTCCTATTGTGAATAATGCTGCAATAAACATGTGTGAGCAGGTATCTTTTTTGTAGAATGATTTGAGTTCATCTAGGTGTATTCCCAGAAGAGGGATTGTTGGGTTGTATGGAAGGTCAACTTTTAGATCTTTTAGAAATCGCTACTCTGTTTTCCACAGAGGTTGCACTAGTTTATACTCCAGCCAGAGTGCAGAAGTGTTCCCTTTTCCTGCATTTTCTGCAGCATCCATTGTTTTTTGTTATTGATGATGGTCATCCTGACTGGAGTTAGGTGGTATTTCAGTGTGGGTTTTTTTCTTTTTTTTTTGAGTTGGAGTCTCACTCTGTTGCCCAGACTGGAGTGCAGTGG